AGACAATTTAGCAATTGAGAGTGGATCAGAAACACAATATGTACTAAAAGGAGAAAGTAAATTTTACCAAAAACAAACATGAAAAGTAGGACTAAGCAGGCTGAGCTGCAACTGAGTTTAATAATATTTCAAAATTAGGCCATTCTAAACATTATAGGGGTATTTGCCTGATAGACTAGGTAAATATCAATACAAAGAATCTAGATTATACATCATTTCCACATTCAGCAAATTCATTTCATTAATGTTTAAAGAAAAAGGCCAAGATAGGAATGTGGAGTAATGTTTTTAGAGATGAAACTCATGTCTACAAACAGCTACTATCAATAGCTGATCACTCCCTCTCCTTATGTACAAGTCAGGATGGGTAATCTTTGCTCTTAAAAATAATCATATTGCTTTATTTGGTTGGTTGATTGATTTAAACGCCCATCCTGTGGTAGAAACCTCTGGGCAGCTACTGTAGCAATAACGATAAATTCACAAACAACAATAAAACCATAACTGAAGAAAAACCATGTCCATCTCCTTATTTGTTAAAACTCAGTTTACCTATACTATCCCATGCTCCAACTTTACTACACAATATTCATGGAGGAAAGCTAGCTTTTAATGGCTTTCTGAATGTTTAAGATCTCAGTAATCTATATGCCAGGAGCTTTCACTGGTCACAAGCCTTCTGTGTAATGTCTGTGCTTTCAGCAACTGTAAAAAGTAAGAAAGACAACTTTGCCAGTACTATGCAGGAACTGTTACCTAAGAAAAATAGTCTGAGGCATTTTTAAGTCCAGAATTATAAGAAAACATCTGCTATCAAATCAGGCATTTGCCTCCATAATTCATTGAACCGAACTATAAGGAGGAAGAGGAAAGAGAAAGAAACGGAAGTACAGCTTTATCAAACTTTCAAGATTATGTTATTAGAGATTTAACCCTCCCATGGACTTGATTTTCTTTTCTGTCTGACATCATGATACAGAGATTACAAAAAACTTACCACTGTAATATTTATTATTATGAAATATTCATGTTTGAAGGAGTATAAGGATATGCACTAGCAATTTTAATACAACATCTGGTTTGGCATTGGTATTTTCAGAACAGATCTACTATACTATGATATCATTTCATGAAGATGATCATAAAGCATATACCTTCTATACATAGATACTTCATGCTTAACTCATAGGAGAAATAGCTGGCAAAACTTGCCAAAACTGGGCAACTAGAATTTTTGAATTTCTATACTATCTGCAATGGAAGTACATTATGGGGAGATTGGATTAAACTAGTTGAGATGAGACTGTCATATAAGAAAGAAGGAAAGCAGAATAAACTCTCTTAATACTTAGCAAGTTGGAGCTAGTCTAATGTTATGAGGTAAAACATTCCATAGGAGATGATCTTTACAAATCTCTTTACACAACTACATAGTAAACAACTGAAAAACAGAATGTCTTTGGCAATATCAGCACTTTTCCACATAAAGACCCCCAACTATTCTTATTGAAATTATCAGCCTCACTGTAGAGGTCTGTGATGAAAAACAAACTACCTGTTTGCTTTCATTCAAAGCAAAGTACACAGGATGCAAAATATCACGTAGCAAAAGAGCAAGAGAAATGTTTATGGGTGTTTGTTTGAGGTAGTATTATATCTTCCTTATTCCCACCCTTCAACCTTGACATTACTTTAAACAAATAAAAATAATGAACAATTGGGCCACTAGGTCAGAGTGTAACATGTTCTGACCATAACTGGGTGTTCCTTCTGGACTGCTCTCATATATTTTTTGAGTCATAGGAAAGAACACATGATTCATAGTCACTACAACAAATGTTTACAAGGCCTGTTTACTGCTAACGTTTTGTTCCCCACTCAGTTTGAGGTTTATAATGATGTCTACTTTTAAAGGATATGGTTCAAAATATCCTTGAGGGCTCATGTCAAATTACTATAAGGAGCTTTAAATCAAGTTTGAATCCTATTCAAGCTGCCCAGCAAGTGTCAATACATCTTTTGGGATAAAGAACTGCACAGTCCTGGTTCAATTTTAAGTGTAATAAAATTGAACATATGTTCAAATTGAGCCCTGGTAAAGCATTCTGAGCCAGAGAAGATCTCCACAGGCATAAAAGAAAATCTATTCTTTACAATACATCTGGTTTTAAATTCTAAAAAATGATTGAAGGTTTAAATATGCTAATGGGTGGGTGTCAAACTTGATTTCATTGAGGGCCGCATCAGGGTTGTGTTTGACCTCAGGGGGCCAGGGTAGGCATGGCCAGCTCAATATCACTTGTGGTGACCCGAGCACTCTTGACAGTGAAAACGAGCTCCTGAGCTCCATTTTCAGCTGTGATGGCTTCCTGCAACACTTTGCCAGCAAAAATGGAGTTTGGAAGGGCTGTCTGCAGCTCTTGTGAGCTCTATTTTTGACTGTGATGGCCTTCTGCAACCCTCTGCCATTGAAAACAGAGCTTGGGAGGGCTACAGGCCAGTCATTTGCTGTTTCCAGGTTGGCCCTACGGGCCAGATCTAAGCACCCCATGGGCTGGATCCAGCCAGCAGGCCTTGAGTTTGACATACCTGTGCTAATGTAAAAATAACTCATCTGAAGTATATAATCTGAATTCCCAGTTCTGAAAAAGTAATTAATATAAATATAGCTCCAAACAAACAACCAATCTTACGACCAGCTGACTAAATTTCACACAAGACATTTATAAGCTAAGGAGAATAGGACAAGAAAATCCTACCGATGATGTTGCCTAGTCTGGTAACAACACTTTCAGAAACTAAATTTTGGTTGGTCTGATCTCCTGAGTTCTCAATATTTTCAAAACTATCATGCTGTAGATAGCGTTCCATTCTTAAATGTTGTTATTGAGAAAGGAAACATTTATCACAAAAAGATGTTTTTTAAAAAAACTTTCCAGCTGGATGCTAGGTAAGAAAACTCAATATAGGATAGAACAAAATTAAGGCTGCAATATTAAAATACTTTGAAATCTATCCTAGTAAAGTCAGGAGTTAGTTTTAAGTACAATAGATTTATGTAAATGTAATAATATTTATTTATTTATTTAATTTATATTCCCGCCTATTCGCCCAAGGTGACTTGAGATGGCTTACACAATGTAAAATCATATCTAAAACAAAAAGTAAAAATAAAAATACACAATGTAAAATCATATTTAAAACAAAAAGTAAAAATAAAAAACAATGAAAACTAACAAAAAGAATCAAATAAATTAATAAAGTACAATAGAACAAAATCTGGGGGGCAAATGTCTTGCAGATTATATTATTTTTATTAGCGACTAGCCCATCATATAAACCCAAACAAATAATTCAATAATAAAATATTTCTAGAAATATTAGAATATAAAGTGTAAAATAACAGGATTGGAAAGGACCTTGGAGATCTTCTAAATCTAGTCTAATCCACTGTTGGAGCAGGAGATCTTATATCATTTCAGTTAAATGGCTGTCTCTCTTTAAATATCTCCCGTGATGGAACACACACAACTTCTGAAGGCAACCATTTTCAGTGATTAATTGTTCTCATTATTAGGAAATTTCTCTTTAATTCTAGGTTGAATCTCTCTTTAATTATCTTCGACCCATTACTTTTTGCCCTGCCCTCAGATGCTTTGGAGAATAGGTCAATCTCCTTTCTGTGACAGCCCTTCGAGTATTGGAAGACTGCTATCGTGTTATTCCTATTTCTTATCTTTGTACACATACCTATTTCTACAACTATTCATTTTACAGTTTAGCAACCAAACTCCTTATCATCTTTGTTGCTCTTCTCTGTATTCTTTCTTTATGTGAACTTCAACTTCCAGATTCTAAGAAATTCTGAGAATTGAAGTCCAAACATCTTAAAGCTGCCCAAGTTGGGAAACACTGGTCTAACCTATTAGGTGATAGGCTGATAGCACTCCAACCATTATTTTCCTCCTATTCCAGTACACCATCCCCAATACTGAATTAAAGCTGCAACTATCAACTTAATGCTTTCAATACTTCATATTGCCAGATTTTAAAAGATTGCTATTTTCTCATTTGTAATAATTAATGCTGCCTCTGCAACTACAATATTTTTCCATCTCTTGCCCTCCTCCTTTTTTAAAAACCATGTTTTATTGTTTCCATACTTCATTGGACCCTTGCATGCATTCTGTCTTTTCTCTTTTGCAGCTTTATTCTCTTAATGATAATTAAGCCTCCTTGACATTTACTAAGGATTAGGGGTGTTAGGATGCAGGTTTTGTATATTCATTCTGAAATGTGATGATGTTGATTGCCATGAAGGGATGAATCATTGGGATTTTCTTTTTCTGATGATTAGATAAGTATCCAACCCTTTCCCATGCCCACTGGATCAGGTACTCACATTGAGCTCTGTTTGAGAACAAGTTCCCCAGGAAATTACACATAACAATTCTTGCTAGCACACAAGTTGACATTAACTCCTACGTGCTGTGTTCAGAAGTTACTGGATCTAAGGAGCTTTAATTACCTTGTGGGGCCTCTGTTGGTACATCACTGTTCTAATAACCTCCAGCCACATGACAAAAATTAAACAAGAGATTGTTACATTCCTTGTCATGCAAATATGAAGTCATCTCTTGATGTTTGGGGATGACTTATCCTTCCCACCCCTTCCTTTTTTCTTCTCTAATAAAAAGTTTTATCCCCTTCTTCCCTAGGCAAAAGGGAAAAATAAGAATGGAAAGGCCACCCCTTTTCTATAGACATGTTTATACTGTCCTGAAAAGGTTAAGAGTGAATGGAATAGTGATGAATTATTGCAACACTTAATAAAAGGGGGAAATAAATAAGGGGGGTGGGATACAAACTACCAATCAAACTCTGTTTTTATGTCCCTCCTCTTCAAATAATAGTTAACTGAGATTTAAAGATTAACAGGCTCACAAGAAAGTGTATAAATTGTCCACTATGGAGAATTCAGGACTAGCTGCATGGGAAAGCAGAGTAGTGTGCCCTCTATCTCTAATAGCAACAGGCTCTTCTTCACAATCCTTCTAAGGCATCATGACTTACCCAGGCTTCAGCTATCAGCTGCTGCTCTTATTTCTTGGGCCTGGCTTCAGTTTGGGTGCTGCTCTCCATTTAATGCATTGTGCTCCTTGTACTGAAGAAAAGCTCAGGCTGTGCCCACCAGTGTCCACCAGCTGCCCAGAAATAACCCGCCAACCAGGCTGCAGTTGCTGTCACAGCTGTGCCCTTCAGCTGGGGGACCCTTGTGGAATATACACAGCAAGGTGTAGCCAGGGGCTTAGCTGCCAGGTACAGGTAGATCAAGCTCGACCTCTTTATGTTCTCACTCAGGGACAAGGTACTTGCCTCCCCATTGCTGACAGGACAGAAATTGCAGGTAAGAAACATATCTTTCTGTATCTCTTTTTGCTCATGCCCAGAATGCTGGCTGAGGCTGATGACCAGCAAAGAAGATGACAGTGATTAGAATGATCTTGTGCCAAGATTGAAATGTTAAATTATTTCAGCATGGCTGAAATTTGTTTAGGGGGTGAGTTTGAAAATAAAGATTGGGAAGTAGAGACAAAAACACTATGTAAGAAAACACAATTCAGAACTTCCATCCAATATCCACCCATTAGAACTTCCACCCACTGGAAGAACTGGTTCAGAAACTATAGGAATAAGACAGACAATGGCATTTTCAAAATAAGATTACTCCTAAAATCAAAATCACAGTTTCCTAGTTTGAGAAGAGGACCAAGAAAGATAATAGGAGGAGGCTGACTGTCATGGCTGTGAGAAAACTTTTAAAAGGGGGGTTGCTTTGTTATCTGTCTCCCAATGATGGGAGGAGACAACAACTTCTGAAAGTTTTGAGTAGAAAGCATTTGTGCAAGTGTGTTTATTTTAAGACAAGATCATTTGTTTGTTTGTTACCTATCAAATTTAGAAACTACTCATCTCTCTTACATAGTTGATACTCCTAAAGTAAATAGAAATGAAATAATATTTCGGTAAAATGCTTCAACCCATTGATCCCCTCTTAATTAGTTATGGTCTCATATACAGTAATTGAAACTATTTATTAATGTTTCACCCATTTTGATTTACAGATTAAATATTAGAAACCTATAACTGTTATCAGATCTGCATTCAGATAGAAATAAGATACTGTACATTTAATCCCATAGCCTCTTTATCACCTGATCACCTTTACATGCATGTTCAGCCCTCATTAATGCATTTAATTGTTGCTATTGTTAAAGAGATCGTGCCTAAACTGAATTTTCAGCAAACTGATACAAGGAAAGGAGTATTTTTTCTGCAGTTACTAGAAATTTTCCTTCAACTCATTCTTAAAAACCATCTCTGTTATGTCATTTGCACTTTTTAAAAGAAAATGCTGAATCTTCTATTTAAAAAATCAGATGGTAATATTCTGAAAAGCAGCTTGCATGAATACCAAATAAACCAAATTCAGCATCAACATAATCATATTTTTTGACAAGAAAAACAAAGTTTATAATTACATCCCTTGTATAGACTTGTCACTATATTTAACTGTGAAATTTTAATTCTGCAAATAGATACAAATGTGCTTCTTCCTGCAACGAGCTTCCCATTTTGCTCTCAAGGCAGTGCTGTGAGATAGATTAGAACAGGAGGGGAGAAATTGGCTAACGGGCACTTAGCATCCAAATTCAGGAACTCTCTAATTTTGACATAAACCATTAGGTTGAATGTATTAGTAATTTTAATTCATACTATTCTGATTTTGGATAGTGATATACTGTTTCACAGTAAAAGGTATAAAATGCTTGACTTCTAAGCTGTTGAAAATGTATGCAGGAAATTCTTTGATAGGTAAGACTTCACTAGGTGGGCCAGACCACTGCATTCTGTTGACCTCTAGATGTTCTTGGGAAATTCCCAAAAATTTCAATAGCTGGCTAGCTATTTCAGGAATTTATAGTCTTCATCTTCTAGAATGTCAGTGCTTGGCATTGCCAATGCACTAATTTAACAGTATAAGGCTACTTTTTTAAAAAAAAGAAAGCATGAAAGGTAAAACAAAATTAATTTACTCTAGGAATCTCCAATACTTTTACACGTGGCCATATCTGGCTTTTTAGAATATATTATGATAGCTAGCTAGCTCTCTCTCTCTCTCTCTCTCTCTCTCTCACACACACACACACACACACACACACACACACACACACACAGCTATTACATGTTGTGGGTTGTTCTGTGAACATAAAAAAATCTTCCATGGGGATGGGCGTGGCAGTGACAAAATGGCTGACTTAGTGGGCATAGTCTGTCACAAAATAGCCAAGCACTAAAAAACGAACTGCTTAAATTATTCCATACCACTTTTTAAAAATTTTCTTGGGATGTTTTCATCTCAGCTCACCTTTGATTTGTTTTTGTGAGTAGAAGAGAACACTTCCAAACTAGCCACTGGTCTACAGTCACTCTGTGTTTACCTATGAATATCTATATTTATTTGGGAGCCAAAGGCCTTTTTGAAAATGCTGAAATCTTATGCTGCATACTGAATTCTCATTGCTTATTTTTTAATGAAAATAATCTCTTAAAATTGCAGTAAAATTAAAGTCAATAATAAATAATAAAATCAATTAGGCACTAGTGGACATGTTTGCATCCATCCTGATACCTGCAGGCATTTTATTAGGAATATTTGTTTTATTTATTTTATTGTAATATCTGTTTAACTGTAGTGAATTGCCTAGAGTCTTTAAGACTTGGGCATTCTACAAGTTTAAATATATAATGGTTGGTTGGTAATCAACCAGATGTTTAGACTGAACTTGACATTTTTACCACCTACTAATTCTTTCCCAAGGACCAGCAAACTTTTGTGTTTGAATTTGCACCAGATTATTTGATAGTGGTAAAGATATTATCACAGGATTTAATCATTCCCAGTAAAATAGTCTTTTGCAACTTACACTTGATGATTTTGCCAATGATATTCAAGTGGGGCACTAGATGTTTGGGGATTGCATCTATCAGTGCTAGTACTACCTTTGCTTTATTTTGCAGTCATTCTATTTTTATTTGCAGGTCTTCATATTCTGTTATCTTGTCTAGCTTTTTCTCTTTCATTCTGCTGTTTCCAGGCACTGCCACATGCACTATTCAGGCTTTTTTGTCTCTCTTAATGACAATTGTCAATTATTGTTATGGTTTATTGCACAGTCAGATGTTAGACAGGTTTTGGTATTTTTATACCCCATCAAATCCTTCCTAAAGATCTGGGATAGAGAGAGATGTTGATATTTGATGGGATTAAAAGTATCATTACTGAATGTAAACTGCACTAAGTAAAGCTGCCTTTTACTATTAACTGATGGTGATTTTGTCAATGGTGATGTTCAAGTGGTGTTCCAGATGTTTTGGGATTATATCCAAGGCCCTATGACTATTGGTGCTACCTTTGCTTTCTTTTGACAAGGTTATTATATTTCTGCTTGAAGGACTTTGTATTTTAGGATTTTCTCCATTTATCTTCTCTTCTGCTGTCTTCAGGTACTGTCACATCCACTATCCAAACTCTTTCTTTTTGACAGTTGATGAGTTGGAGTATATGCAGTAGGTGCCTCTTTGTTTAAATATCAAGAATATAAATAACAAGAAGAAAGTCAAGGAAAAATCGGTTCACTAAAGACAGAAGATGGCAAGGAAGTAGTAGGCAGTAGAGAGAAAGCAGAGCTGTTAACTCATTCTTTGCCCATGAGTCTTCATGCAAAAAGAAAGTATAACCCAATCTACTAAAAGACATACTAGAAATAAAAATTAAAATAAGCAAGAAAATGATAAGAGAACATTTGTCTGACTTGATGAATATACATCACTGGGACTTGATGCATCTCAGAGTTCTGAAGGAGCTGGCAGATGTTATCTCAGAACCATTGTACCATATCTATAAAAAATCCTGGAATACCAGGGAACTACCAGAAGATTGGAAAAGAGTTGATGTGGTTCTCGTCTTCAAAAAAAAGGCGGGGGGGAACCAAATCCAGCAAACCACAGATCAATCAGTCTAACATCAATACCTGGGAAGATACTAGAAAATATAATAAAAAATAGATATGTGAACACCTAGAAACAAATAAACTAGTATCCAGCCATAAGTTTGTTAAGATTGGTTTGGCATCAGAGGTGGTATTCAGCAGGTTCTGACCAATTCTAGAGAACCAGTAACAGAAATTTTTAGTAGTTCGTAGAACTGGCAAGTACCACCTCTGACTGGAGATTTTACAGTATCCTTCCCCTGCTATGCCTACCAAGCCATGCCCACAGAACAGGTAGTAAAAAAATTGAATCCCTCCACTGTTTGGCATGATCTGTTTTTATTTCATTCTTTGACAAAGTGACTAAATTAGTAGACCAGCGAAATGCTGTGAATATAATATACTTAGACTTCAGGAAGGCATTTGACAAAGTAACCACAACCTACTTCTTGATAAAATAGAAAAATGTGGGATAGATAGCACCATCACCAGATGGATTTGTAACTGACTAACAAACTATACTCAATGAGTAGTCCTTAATAGTGCTACATCTACATGGAGGAAAGTAAACAGTTGGGTATCACAAGGTTCCGCCTTAGGCCCAGCACTCTTCAATATATTCATAAATGACATGGATGTGGAAATAGAAAGGCATTCATCAAATTTGCAGATGACACTAAACTGGCAGGAATAGTCAACACTCAAGAAGACATGCTTGGGATCCAAACAGATCTTGATAGACTGGAACAAAGGGCCCTATCCAACATCATGAAATTTAATGGAGGAAAAAGACAAAGTTTTACACTTTGGCAAGAAAAACCAAAGGTACAGATATAGATTAGGTGAAACCTGGCTCAAAAACAGTAAGTGTGAGAGGGACCTTGGAATCCAAATGAATGACCACTTAAACATGAACTAGTAATGTTTATTTTTATTTATTTATTTATTTGGTCAAGCAAGTATTAGATAACAGGTATAAGTATAAACATGATTATGAATACATGAAATGGATACAAATAAAAAGGAACATTAGGACATGGATGGTAGGCACATTGGTGTGCTTATGCATGGACCCTACAGACCTTTAGGAAAGGGGTGAGGTCAATAGTAGACAGTCTATACAATCTTCTAATAATAGTGGTTGTTGTTGTCATTGTTAGTATTATTATTAAATGTAATTGCTATATTTCCCTAGATGTATAATATTAATGAACATACAGAGATGATAGGTTCTGATGGCCCATTAAAATTTGCTATTTGACAGCCTTAATTCATTTCCTATAAAGCTATGTTCTAGTTCAGGTGTCGGCAACCTGTGGCTCCAGAGGCACAGGCGGTTCTTTGTGCCCTCTGCTGTGGCTCCCTGTTGGCTGAGCCCACCACTGGCTGGCTCCGCCTCTCACCCTCCCCTCCCAGTCACTCCTCACCTAAGAAGGTAAGAGTGATGGCAGCAGATGGAGACTTGTTCCATATTCCAGAGTGGGAGCAAAGCGCCCTTCTGCTTGCTTCTTCTTCCAGCCTTTGTTGATGCTTCATGGACTTCAGTTACTCAGGGAGATGTGTGGCTTGTTCTTCATCCCAAAACACTGGCCTAGCCTGGCTGTGACTAATGCCACTGTTCTCACCAGCTCCATAGCCTGCTTGCTGCTCTTGCAGCACCTCGCACAGCACATTTAAATTTAGCATGCTTCACAATGGGTGAGACAGCAGTCCTTGCCCCTTCTGGAGCCCATTATGTTGCGGAGCATTGGCCAGTATCTCAGGGCACTGAGAAACTCATGCTTCTCACCAAGTGACTGTGATGTATGCAGCAACAACAAAGGCCAGAAGAAGAGGCAAATACAGGGGTGCTTCACTCCAATTCTGGAATATGGAGTGAGTCTCTGTCCACCACCATCACCCTTACCTTCTCAGGCTAGGTGAGGAGTGACTGGGAGGGGAGGGTGAGGGGGCGGGGCCAACCAGTGGTGGGTTCAGCCACTAGGGAGCCACAGCAAGGGGACGAAAGAGGAAACACACACATGAGAAAGAGAGAGAGAGAGAGAGAGAAATGAGAGAGATGAGAAATAGAGATGAGGGGGGGGAGGCAAAAAGAGAAAGAAAGAAAGAAAGAAAGAAAGAAAGAAAGAAAGAAAGAAAGAAAGAAAGAAAGAAAGAAAGAAAGAAAGAAAGAAAGAAAGAGAGAGAGAGAGATGTGAGAGAGAGATGAGAGAGAGTTGAGAGAGAAAAAGAGAAAGAGAAAAAGAGAGGGGCAGAGAAAGAGAGAGAAAGAGAAATATCTGTCACTCACGACATCACTCACTCCCACCCAGCCATGCCTACCCAGGTTTTGTGGCTCCCGGTGTTTTCTTTTCTGTGGGAAACCGGTCCAAAAGGCTCTTTGAGTGTTTAAGGTTGCAGACCCCTGTTCTAGTTGAACTATCATACAATACACTATTGTCCTGATTTCTTCTCTTAGAATCTGTGGAACCAGAGGATATGCCCACTCAAGGTGATGAAATAACAGCAGATCACTTGGTCAACTATGAGGTGGTGTTTTCAGCTGATCAAGATAAATCTGTCTCATGGGATGCTAACAACATTTATGAAAGTTTGAGAGCAAAGAAAATTGCTGAAGTTAAGAAATGGAGGGAACAGGTAAGAGCCCTCTGTCATCACACAATTTCAGATATGCATTCTGTAGAGGAGGTATTTATTGAGGAACAGGTGGCAGTCAGGGTTAGGAGACTCTTTGCACAACCCTGTATTATACACTAGCTGTGGTCTTCCCTGGATCAGGATTCCCTGCACTCAGTCATTCAATCCTCAGTCACTTTGAGGCTGGACTATTGTAATGTACTCTGCATGCAACTACCGGAAACCATTGGCAGCTATAGTTGGTACAGAGTGCGGAAGCGTGGGTAGTTTTGGGGAATCCCAAGAATGGCCCCTGTAACACCATTGCTTCATGAGCCACATTGGTTTCCAATCTGCTTCCTGATGTTGGAAAGGAAAGGAAATTAAAAAGAAAAAAAAAGAAAATGAGACATTCAAAACAGATATTGCAATTTCTTCTCTGAAAATAGGATGGAATTTGTTTTAGAAAGCATGGAATTTCCCTCATAGGGTAAAGTCTGAAGATTCTGGTAGAACCATCTTTTTCATTAGTGACAAAAGGTCTGTTTTGGCACAAAGCAGCAACTGCTTCATCAGCAAAGGCTCTCACTAGATGTAAAATAGATTGAATATAAAGAATGTTTGTAGATATGAGTATACTCAGAAGAACCACTTGATGGCACCAAAGGCCTAAATGTGATCAGTTAATTAGAATACCAGAACATAATTGCACTATACATGACTTGACATATTAATTTTTCATGGTGCAGAAGTCCTAAATGTCATGTCCAAGTCTAATAACATGTTACAGTCATATGGCTTGTATTATATATTCAGTCCATATGATCATAGAATTCACCAGCAAATTCTCTTGCTTTTATTAAAACTATATGCATAAATCATAGAATCAAGACAGCTGGAAATAATCTTAGAGGTTATCTAGTTCAACTCTCCACTTGATGCACTATCTACTATAACAGTTCAGGAAGATGATTATCTAATCCTCCAATGAAAAAGCACATACCACTTCATGAGGCAAGTTATTCCACTGCTTTATAGCTATTTTAATCAGGAAAATCCTTCCTTCCAGTTAGAGCTAATATTTATAGATAAGACTAGTATCTTTGCTCTGGTTATTATGGACAGCTGATCTCATGTATATTTGGTTAGAAGAAAGAGCAAATGCTTTCAAGTATTCTTATCTTAGGAATATACCTCGGATATATATTTATTTATTCTTTTTCTATGTTTGTCAAATCTACCAGAAACTCACACTGGTTTACAACTAGCAACTAAGATTTATAATCCAATCACTTAAGACATTGCAAGGAATAAATTAATTATAATAAACTACATTTTAGCAACTACATTGACAGTGCTTCCCTGGCCTGGGTAGATTACCCAAAATTATGTAAAAGAGATTTTCTTTGGATAATGGCAACAAACCCATTTCCCAATCACAGGGATATTTAAATTGACTTAAAGGGTTTTGCCTACATAGGGTAGCAAGAACTTTCTGAGAGGCAGTTTGGGAAGGAAATATTTGGAAAGCACTACATTAAGTGAAAAACAAATAAACAATACAGCAAAAATAACAGTAAGAGGAAAAATAAGAACACCAGTCTGTCAAAAACTCTGTCTTTGTCATTTTCTAGAAAGACATTAGAGATCTTATTTGTAAGGCAATAGAAGACAGATTTATTTTTAATTGATTCCACTTTTGGAAGTACTTAGAAGTAATATTGAATGTGTGCAGGACTTCTAGCATGTCGGCCTTTATTCTTAATCCTTCATTGTTTATGATCTTACTGTTCTTTCAGGGACCGTGTCAAAAAGAACTGTACAAAGCACTGGATAATTTGGCAAAAGCTCAGCAAACAATTGGAGGACCGTTATATAGATTCTATTTACCCAACTGTAATAAAAATGGATTTTATCATAGTAAACAGGTAATTTGGGGGATAAGGGATAGGAATGATATTTCCAAGCTAAAGAAGGATGATGTGGTTTATTACCTTTTTCATTGAATGAAACCTGCTCAGAAATCTTTACTTTGAAAATGATAGAAATCAAGCTTCTTCCTCCCACACGTTAATTCAGAAATGAAAATCTTGTCATCCTCAAGTGTCTTAAGGATGGCAGCCCAACCTTTTTCTTTTTGATAGAACAAAAGCAGACTATTCAGAATTAGATATCATTCTAAGGACATTACATTTTTGAAGCAAAATGTCCGTAGGTCTCATAATGCACCAAAATCACGTTCAATAGCAGAAATCTTTGATCTGCAGCAAATCTCATAGATGACTAATACACTTATAATGATAACAGATGCAAGTAGACTATGGATAGCTATGCCTACTTATACTTCGGTAAGAAAAAATGAAGATGGAGGAAGTAGAACAAATTTTCTGTTCTGAGGGAACAATTTCAGTTGCGTATTTTAAGAGAAAAGATCTGAATGAAGTAGAGAAGCTCCCATAAGGAGCACTGGTTTTTCATGGAGAAGGGACAATTCCTAGAATTGTAGATGATTCTATGCACTTTTAAAGTAATTTATAGTATGATAATGCTAAGTTAATATACAGATCTGGCACAATTTTATACATATTACAGTGAACAATTAAAAATCATGATTATTCAGCTAAAGTATCTTTAAACAGATTTGCTTGATAATTTCCTTTATTTCCCCCACATATGCACATGCACACATGCACATGCACACACACACTTAAAAAACCAGCATATATTTCTGAATAGCTATGTATATAACCTAGTGAAAAATCTAGTGAAATATAGGTGAAATCCTTTCTTATTTTCCATCTTTTGGGAAAGTTTCAATTCAGCCAACAAATAACAGCAGAGCAAAGAATTGCCTTTTTTAGAGACCAGACAAAGTCAACTGATTTTCAATGTCAGATTGGGAATAGTTGGATTAAGTACAATAAGGATGAAAAAGATTGAACTATATATAACAGGGGTTGCCAACCTTTTGGACCTCAGGGATCACCAAGCTCATAAATTTAAATCTTGGGGACCACTAACCGGTTCTGTGAATGTGGCCTAATTTGTGGGTGTGGCTTGATGGTCGTGTGAGTGGCTGGGCATGGCTTGTATGTAAATATTATAAATATTTATATAAATATTGAATTTTTTATTATAAAAAGAGAAACTTTTACCCAAAATCAAGCAAAGCAGGCAGGCAGATTGAGTTGCTCACAAAATCACAGATTTATTCAGAGATCTGTGAGATCAGCTACCTGAACCTGTCACATAAAATTTGCTTGCAAGCAAACTCATAAAATGTGCTAGCAAGCAAACTCACAAAATTAACTCACAACACACCATGTATGTAAATGTTGAATTTTTTTATCAAAAAAGAGCAACTTTTACCCAAAATCAGGCAAAGCAGGCAGGCAGATTGAATTGCTCACAGAATCAGATTCACTTAGAGATCTGTGTTTCTGCCATCAGCTAGCTGAGTCTGCACTGCTTTAGTCCTAAGCAGAGCTGAAGATCTAAAGATTAGCTAGAAAGCAAGAAATCCAATGATTTCTTGCCTGCTTTCTAGCTAATCTAAATCTTCCAGCATAGCAGAACAGCTGATGGTTGAAAAAAGGAAAAATAGCAGTTTAGCAGGCAAGTTTGTCAGGTAAGGAATGAATGGGTGGGGAGAGTTCCCACAGGCCTTATGGATGGCACAGCCTTGTGTTCCCATGCAGCCTGGATTAATTGCTTCGGGCGGGGGTGTCATTTCTCTGTGGATCACCAAAATTTTCTTTCAGACCACCATGGGCCGTGGCCCACTGTTTGGCGACTGCTGATATATAATGTAAAAATGACAGTAAATTTTGCCTGACTAGGAACTGGATAAAAATTGTTCTCTAATATTTAAATTAATTTTTCTCTACTGAGAAAAAAACCATATTTACTTATTTTAATATGCTTTTTAAAATTCCCTTAGTGTGAAACTTCACTTGATGGAAATCCTGCAAGTTGTTGGTGTGTGTATCCAAAGAATGGGAAGAGGATTCCTGAGTCTCCTGAAATGATGGCCAATCCTGAATGTGAACAATTTATTAGCTCACAAAAATAATGCAAAAAAAAAAAATTGCACAAACGTGTATTTTATTTTTGCAATCTGAATGCTTGAATTTCTAGGGTCAGGGTCTGTTAACCTTGGTTAACAGAACTTTAATCCTGTGGTTAGACAACAGTCTGCTTTAAGGATGCTTTCTGTGAAATTCCAGAGATCCCAACTGGATTGACTCCATTCTAATATACTACCAGATTTCTTGCTATACAGTTAATTCAAGGAACAAGAATCCAGCAATTCTGATTAAAAATATTTATTAGGAGGGTTAAATTTATGACAGAAGAATTTTAGCAAGAAAGGGGGCTTTCAGATAACCAATATTTAATATAGATCAGTGTTCTCAATTTTGGCATCTTTAAGATATGTGAAGGGCTGGAAGTATGTTTCCTTTTTTTTATAAAAATAGGGCGTTCTGCATCCTGCATAGTTTTGGTAAATTGCTAGTCTTTTTTGTGAGTGGACAGAATAGTAGTCTCAAGATATTATAGCACTGTGGTCAGCATTACTGGTGGGGTGGGGATTCTAACATTGTATACTATTGTATTCCTGAAAGCTAAGCAGTAGAAGTACCGTTAAGATAATAAAGAGGAAGAGATTATGGACTACATAATATGAAGTTCAAAAGATTATTACATTATTTATTCAACCTGTATTTTTATTTTATTTGTATATTAATTTATGCATCTGTATACTTCAACTTTTCAAACCTTGTATGAAAACATTTCAATATTTTCTCCAAGAATAGGCAGTTTTCTGTTTTTAAAGAATACAATATAATATGAACATCATTTGCAAATATAATGTATAAGAATGACACAGTTCAAGCATTTATTTAAAAGAATGTGTGTATATATATTATGTTGTTGCTTTATTTCAATATTGCTTCTCATTTCATCATCAAGGAGTTCTCACTCTGAATAATGTTATTAAGAAAATGTTCTTCAGAAATATCAAAGGCACCTTAAAAGGAAGTTGTTTCTGTGATTTTAATAAATCCAGTTGCTTTATAAACAAGTTTAAACAAACTAAAATTAAGAAATTGTAATATTTGTTTGATGATGTAAGCATTCATAAATCAGCTTTATCATGTTATTTAAACATTTATTAAACAACATTTATTAAACACTTTTCTTTTTTGTTCAGTTTCTTGGTTGATCCTGATTGAAAGTTTGTCCTTCAGAACTTTTTGTTATAAACTATTATTTTCAAAGAAGTAGCTAGAAAAATTTGGTCACCTGCACATTTTAAGATGCATGGGGTTAGTGTCTCTGGCAAGGGTGCCTATGCCAAATTTCCTTATATCTCTGCTAGAAAATGCCTAAATCTTGCATTTTTAGAGCAACAGACAAAGAAAGCTTGCAACTGTATGCTACTTTTTCCCAACTCTAATATAGTATAACTGAAATGAAAATGCTCCAGTCCCTTACTTGACTATGCACTTCATGGTTGTTGCTTCCAAAGCTTATGCAAATGGAATGAATTCAGCAGCACTGCTGACATTCTCTTGATCCCCAGTGCAGGAATAAATGTTCTTCATTTATATCCCAGAAACTTCCGGTTGCACACAAGTAGAAATGGGGTGGCAAACAAGATGTATCCTTGGTCTGCTACAGTGAGACTAGCCTGATAACAATAGGAGATTTTGATCCACTTGGCAGAAGGGTGCAAATAACATAAACACCTGGACAGTTAAAAACATAGAATAATATGGTTGGACCTTCTAGTCCAGTGGTTCCCAAACTTTTTAAGTCCACCGCTCCCTTGGTGCTACAAACTTATCCTTGGTGCCCCCCACCTAGGGGTGGGATTCAAATTTCTGTGGGTGTGGCCTAATTTGAGGGTGTGGCTGGGCATGTGACTGGGTGGGCATGGACAGGTGATTGGCAAACCAAATACAAGTGGTCTTCACTTAATGGCCCGTTGTTTAGCAAGTGTTCTAATTTATGACTGGCCTCCCCAGAGCTACTTGACCTGTTTTTGGAATTTTAACAGCTTTAGATCAGGGGTCTAAATCCCACCCCTGTCTGTGTGTGAGTGAGAGAGGTTGGATCAGATCTCTTTCTCTCTCTTTCCCACCAACACCAGAAAGCCACCATCAGTCAAAATTCATATTAGTGGTCTCCGGGATTTAAAATTATGAGTTTGGTGGTCCCTGGGGTCCAAAAGTTTGGCCACCCCGATCTAAAGGGGTGAGCCTGAGAGAGGGAAAGAGAGAGAGAAAAGAAACAGAGAGAGAGAAAGAAGAAGAAAAGAAAGAGAAAGGGGAAAGAAATAAAAAGGGAGAAAGAAGGGGGGAATGGAAGGAAGGGACAGAAAGAAAAAGAAAGGAGAGAGGGAGGGAAGAGAAAGATAATAAGATATCTATTCTAGTCCAATCACCTGCTCCAGCAGTGTTAGAAGGGAGTGTGTGTGTGTGTGTGTGTGTGTGTGTGTGTGTGTGTGTGTGTGTTTTCCTTGTAATTTACCAGTACATTTTGGTTTTGCCTTCTTCAGAATTAGCACTGTAATACATTGGGGAAAAATATTTTTTACGGTGAAGATCTAGTCCAATGGATCCTGTTTAAAGCCTCAACAGAATGTGAGAGCTTCCTGATAGCCTTGTCCATGTTTTGTCTACAAAACTTTTAATAGAAGCCATTGAAGCCAGGTTTCAATGTGCTGGCAGAGATGTTTCAATGTGGAAAAGGGCCTCAGTCTAAACTAGGTCTCATTCAATCTGATGCATCAGATCTCTCTCTCTCTCTCTCTTTCTCTCTCTCTCCCTCCCTCCCTCCCTCCCAGACTGGCTTTGCTCGACTTCAATTTGCCTGCGGGGCCGGCACTTCGAACATGGATGGATGGAGAGAGAGAGAGAGAGAGAGAGAGAGAGATAGGCAGGCAGGCAGGCAGGCAGGCAAATAGATAGATAGATATTGATAGATAGATGATAGATAGATAGATAGATAGATAGATAGATAGATAGATAGATAGATAGATAGATAGATAGATAGATAGATAGATAGATAGATAGATAGATAAGTAGGAAGGTAGGAAGACAAGCAGGGAGGCAGGCAAGCAGACAGGAAGACAGACATACCTTTTGGATGGATGGATGGATGGATGGATGGATAGGTAGGTAGGTAGGTAGATATATCTATATTGCTAGGTAGGTAGGTAGACAGAAAGACAGACAGGTAGGCAGGAAGACAGACATACCTTTTAGATGGATGCATGAATAGGTAGATAAGTAGGTAGGTAGACAGAAAGACAGACAGACAGGTAGGCAGGAAGGTAGGCAGGCAAACAGACAGACCTTTTGGGTGGATGGATGGATGGATGGATGGACAGACAGATGGACAATGTGACAGCGGTGGCACTTTGGGAAAGCGGTGGCAGTGGCTTTTCTCAATGTGCTGCCACATTCGAGGCACCGTTTCTGGTGCGGTATAACAGTCAATGGGGTGAGCCTGCAGGACCGGTGCCTCAAACGCCCCCCTGCCACCACTTAGTATCCCCAAGGGGGCTGGCAGAGGAGCTCTAAGAGGCAGCAGGGGGGCATTTGAGGCGCTGGCCAGCCCTGCAGTTTCACCCATTGACTAGCACCGCTCTCCAATGCAGAAGCAGTGGCACGTTATGTGCTGCCATGGCCATGTTCAACGTGCCGCCCCTCTGCCGCGTCTTAGTGCCCCTCTGCCGGCCCCCTTGGGATGACAAGAGGTGGCAAGGGGGCATTCGAGGCCCTGTAGGTTCACTGGCCTTGCAGGTTCACACATTGACTGTAGCACTGCTCCGGAGCCGGTGCCTCAATAGATGAACCTGCAGGCCGGCGGGTGTCTCGAACGCCCCCCTGCTTCCTCTTAGCACCTCTCTGCCAGCTCCCTTGGGAATGCTAAGTGGTGGTTGGGGCAGCGCATCAAACATGGCTGCAGTGGAACATAACGTGCCACCACTTCTGCATTGGAGGTGCTGGCTCCAGAGCAGTGCTAGTCAATGGGTGAACCTGCAGGGCTGGCTGGTGCCTCGAATGCCCCCCTGCCACCTCTTAACATCCCCAAGGGGGCTGGCAGAGGGGCACTAAGAGGCAGCAGGGGACGGTGCATTGAACGCTGCTGCAGCAGCACATAACATGCTACCACTTCCACATTGGAGGTGCCGGCTCCCGAGCAGTGCTACAGTCAATGAGTGAACCTACAGGGCCAGCACCTCGAATGCCCCCCTGCTGCCTCTTAGCGCCCCCGTCAGTCCCCTTGCCTCTTAGCACCTCCCTAAGGCATCCCACCGCCCCCCAGGGTGTGGTACCACCCACTTTGGGAACCACTATTCTAGTCCAACCTCCTGGTCAAGCAGAATACCCTATTCCATTGAAGACAGATGGAGCACTAACAGCCTAGGACTGCACTGGCTTTTTTTTGGCAGCTGCAGTACACTGCTGGCTCATACTTAAGAGGTGATTCACTATGACACCTAAATTCCTTTCACAATAACTGCTGCTGAACCAGGTACCACATATTTTATATTTGTGCATTTGGTTGTTCTTGTCTAAATGTAGGACCCTATTTTTCTCACCACTAAATTGCATTTTCTTGGATAAGGCCAGAGATGGTATTCAGCAGGTTCTGACCAGTTCTGGAGAAATGGCAATGGAAGTTTAGAGTAGTTCAGGGAACCAGCAAATACTACCTTTGACTGGCCCCATCCCTATTTATTTGCTGCCTCCCTGATCAGCTGGGTCTTCTTTTGTTGCCCTGCACAGGAGAATAAAGCTGGAAAGCAGGTTGGTGGGGTGGGGAGGAAATGGAGATTTTATAATATCCTTCCCGTGCCACACCCACCAAGCCATGTCCCCCAAGCCACACAATGCCCACCAAGGTACACCCACAGAACTGGTAGTAATTTTTTTTGAATCCCATTACTGGATAAGGGCCCAGTGTTCAAGTCTTAAGATCTTTCTGTATCTTGAGTCTGTCTTCTAAACTGTTGGTTATTCCCTTTAGTTTGATGCCATCTATAAATTTGATGAGTTCCCCTTCTACTGATTCATCTACATCATTTATGAAAATGTTGAAGAGCACTGACCCCCAAGATAGAACTTTGTGGCACTCTATTGCATGATTTCCTCCATCTAAATTCCATTAAGGACTACATGTAGAGTACAGTTTGTCAATAAGTTATGAATCCAGCTGGTGGTGATACTGTCTATTCCATAAGACTTTTTGTAGGATGTCTTGGAAAAAGATTTTATATATCATGCCTCCTTGTTTTTTCCTTCTAAACCAACTATGTCAAACTCAAGCCCTGCAGGCAAAATCTGGTCCATGGGGTGCTTAGATCTGGCCATGAGGCTGCCTTGGAAACAGCAAAGGACTGGCCTGCAGTGCCCCTGCCAGTGAAAATGGAGCTCGGGAAGGACATGTGTGCATCAGCAAATTATATGAATTGCAGAACTTTGACTTCCTTCTCATATGTTGGACTTTATTCAAACATCATCATCCCATGGATTGATAGCCAGTATAACTGACTTTATACAACATTAAGGTTTGTTCCAGTAAAGGTAATTTCTGTGTAATGTCTTTTCCCAAAGACTTTTCTCTTAATTATTGAAAGACTTCTTAATTGGTGTGGAGTCTGCAGAAAAAGCAATTTGGCAAACAGTCCTCCCCATTTATTCTTTTAAGTTTGCAAATTTTCATCATTCCCCAGCATTTTAGACTGATTAAGGACAAAGGCAACCTCTTCCTTCTGATGATGTCATGGTGAACTGGCTCTAAGGAACAGGGCTCTGTTCTGATGGCCTGAATTTTCCTGTGAGGAGGCTCTTAAAGAGCAATTTGAATCCTGGAGGGAGTGGCAAGAGAAAGGGGAAGCTTTGGAGGCAATCTCCCTGATGGACTAGAAGAAACCTCTGAATTCCAGCAGGAAAAAAATCAGCCAGCATTGGTGGACCTGGAGCCGTGACAGCCAGAGAGATAGCAGGAAGAGAAAATAGAAGACAATGCTTAGACAGTGAGAAAATTTAGAATCGAGAAATAGTTGACGGAAAAAGTGGATTTAAAAAAAACAAAACAGAAGAGTGAGTATGTCAGGTTTCCAAGTGATGAAATCCATTTAAAAAGAAAAGAACAAAGT